TTGAAAAAACTGATTTTTGAAGGAATGGAGCTTTTTATGAGGGGAGGGAGGGGAGGACAGACTCTAGACAGCCTTATTACTGAACCCATCTCCTGCCACTGCCACCAGATATCAGCACCTGTGCACCATCTCATGCAAGACAGTCCACCCTACTTACTCTAGCCCTCTGATTGGGATCTGCATTGTGAAACAATAGCAAGGACACCATGTCAGAGTGTCCTTCTTGCACCGCTATGTGGACGGGAGTAAACCCACTCTGAAAGCAGTGTTTGTGCATTAGGCAAACAAGAACTTGTTAGTAATGGCAATAACAACGAGGTTTCTCCACTTCATGCTCCCACAGAAAGGAGGGGGGAAGATAGGAGAAAAACCCAGCTTGAAACGTTATTAGTTAGTTACTTACTTTGGACGCATCATTGGGGTCCCCCCCGCGCCCCGTGAGAAGTTCAACCATCTCAGTGTGGCCTTCCTGGGAGGCCAGATGGATTGGGGTGAACCCACTCTACAATTGCCAGCACGTGTTTTGTGATATAATACAGAATATTCTCGTGTGATTTAGCACACAAATGCATGCACATTAAAATTTTGCATAAGGCATATAAACAACAGAAATTTAGTCAACAAGTCTTCTTCTTACTTGTCTGAAATGCAGAGTTATGTATTTCAGGCTGATATAAGTGACAAACGAGAACAGACACTCATCTCAAGAAAAGCGTCAGCAGAGAACAAATATTAAATTTAAGTTAGGATAAAATTATGTAATATCAATATGCATATAAATTTAAATACAAATTAAAGTGTTTCTGCTTCAGAATTACACAATTCTTATTTAAAATTGCTCGACTGACAAATTTAATAAACCATTACTAAATTACTGCATAAAGTGACAAATTTAATTATCTTAATCTTTACTCATTTTAATAGTTTTTAAAATTCATTCATTTTTTAATTCCATATCACACTGACAAAAATCAACAGACTGCATAAGTACCTTGGACTCTGCGTTGGGGTTAGCACCATATTCCAGGAGAGTGGTTGCAATGTCCATCTGGTTCTTCTTAGCAGCAATGTGAAGGGGAGTATAGCCGTTCTGAAAATAGTCCCAAGGCATTAATACATGTCACTGGGAAATATTAAACAGTCACTGGACAAAATATTGCCTTGGATTTGAGAGATTTGAGGCCATCATTCAGAGCTGACTTGGCCTGTGTTAAGCACCTTAATAGGTTCTAGAATATAACTTTGTAATATTTAGCCTAACATATCAGGACAGCTTGGAGTACTCTCAACTACTGACTTAAAGTCACCTTTGTCACTCTGACACTGATGAAGATGGCACATGGCATGTCAAAATATTCCACATGAGTGATAAATTTTTCTAAGCTTGTGACAAAAGACCTTTAGATCTCTACTATCTACCCAACTGATGACACTTTTTAAACATATATCTACCTTGGCTGTTGCATGAGGAGAGGCTCCATTCTCCAACAGCAGAAGGGCTACATTGACATTGTTGTAGTGAGCTGCCACATGGAGGGGGGTCAGGCCATTCTTGCCCTGAATATCTGGGTTAGCTTCTCTCTGCAGCAAGAGGCGGGCTACCTTGATGTTTCCATACTTAGCTGCGATATGCAGGGGTGTGAATCCTTTCTGTGATTTTAAAATTATAATAATAATAATTACATTCTGTTAACAAATTCAATTCATATAATAATATTTTGTGTTCTATAACGAAAACATGTTTAAGCAATACATTAAGTCTTAAGTTGAAATAATTTGATATAAAAGATTCCGTATGGTACAAAAGAAATTGACAAAAAAGTGAGTTTTAAAATAAAAAACTGATGTCTTAAGAGTGATGAAGACTTTCACTGCAGCTGAAGTGCACTTAAAAACATTTTACTAAAAACAGCTTGTGGTTTGGAGAAAGAGACAAAAGCAGAATCCTTAGTCTAACATTTACAAAAGAGTAAGCCAATTTAATACCATAACAAAATAATGATACCCAAGTGAATTAAACAACCGATGAAATTATTCAAAGAACCTATGCCAAAATGTCGGTTGAAAGAAAATACTAATGATGCCCAAGTGAATTAGGCAGCTGATAGAACTATTCCAAGATTCTTTCCCAAAACTGTTTCTGGATAAAAAAGACTGATAATTTCCAAGTAAATTATACAGAAAAATGTTTTTTTTTAAATCTTGCCAAACTGTTTACAAAAGAAAAAAAAATAATAACACAACTTATGATACTTTTCAATGAGGTCCTTACCTTAGTCTGTACGTCCAGCTGTGCCCCATGTTCTAGCAGCACAGAGGCCACCTCTTCCTGACCTTCCTTAGCTGCGATGTGCAGCGGTGTGTACAGGTCCTTAGTGACAGCGTCAGGGGAGGCGCCATGTTGGAGCAGCAACACAACAATGTCCACATTTCCCAGGCGGGCCGCAATGTGCAAGGGAGTTTGTTGTTCCTGGGAGAGAGAAAGGAAGAGTTAATTTAAGGTCTATTATAATAACAGCCATTAAAATGGTTTTGATCATTTTTATTATATTCTATTATAATTATTATAATTTAGGTTGGATATACATCTTGTTCAATTTGATTTCTGGTCCACAGTCTTAAAGTAATATGAGTAATCTTAAGTCTATTTTAGTCTACATATATCTTGCCAAAATGTTAAGACCCACTACCAACAAAATAGAAACAACCACTTCACGTTGACAAAAAATATGAATCGCATTACTTACTCTTGCTTTTGCATCCACGTGTGCGCCATTACGAAGAAGTATTCGAATAATGTCGGTCTGGTTGGCACGTGCAGCAAGATGGAGAGGTGTCTCGCCACGTACGGTTGGGAAGTCTGGATTTGCACCTTGTTGGATCAAGTAGATCACGATGTTCATGTGCCCCATGAAGGAGGCAACATGGAGGGGAGTGAGGCCAGACTGAAAGGTGAAAAAAAAAACATTTAAAATAAAACCTATAAAATTTCTAATAGTGGCTAGCTTCAACATCTATCATGCAATTTTACAACTAAAATTTTCTTCCAGTAACTAATATTACAACTGTGATATTTTTTAAATGTTAAGTATGACTCACAAGAACTAGACAAAACCAGTGGACTATACTTATAGACCAGAGTGGTATCTCCTTACCTCTGTTGTAGCTTCTATGGTGGCCCCATATTTCAACAGAAGCTCTACAACTTTGATTCTGTTCTTCTTGCATGCTATGTGCAGAGGGGTGAAACCATTCTGAAATTAAAAATATTAAGGTAATAGTTACTTGAATGCAACTATTAAACTCAAACAGTAACTCCACACTATCTACATCCCAATACCTATTTTTAACTCTCAATTTCCAACAAAAAATAATTTCAAACATTCAAATCCAATCAATGTCATCATCCCATTCTCACCAGTGCTCTGGAGTTGGGTTCCGCTTTTCTATCCAGCAACAGTTTGGCGGTTTTCACATTCCCGCAGTGAGCAGCTACATGGAGAGGTGTCAGGTAGTCAACGGTGACATCATCAACGGGTGCTTTGTGGTACAGCAACAGTCTGGCGCAGTCCACATGGTCTCCCTGGGCAGCCATGTGGAGTGGAGTCAATCCATTCTGAAAATATGGAAAGTCAGATATAAAATACAGTAAATTAATGATAAGATGTTTATTGATAGATAAAGAAGAGTCTGGCATAGTTATGGCAAGGCCTTGAGCAGCCACGTGAAGAAAAGTCTATCCATTCTTAAAAAGGGTGTAATATTATGCTCTTATATTGTAAAGTGTTGTTAGGCAAAATTCCCAAAACTCCAAATAAATGCACTGACTTTGATCTTTTCAACTCACCTTTGTCTTGGCAGAGTAAGGTGCTCCTCTCTCCAACAGCAAGTCAGTGACTTGATCATGTCCACTTCTGGCTGAGCAATGGAGTGGAGTGAGTCCATCTTTAGTTCTGGCCTCTACGTCTGCTCCACTGTCCAGCAGCAGTGTCACCATGTGCAGCCTGCCCCATTTGGCTGACACATGGAGGGGGGCTATGCCATTCTGAAATCACAGGTAAACATATTATATATAGGCTACCAGTGTGGTTCAAGTCAACTGTGCCATTTTTTCTATCGTATGAAACCTGACCCAGGAGAATTTCACAGAATAACTTGAGCCGGAATGCTTAAGTTAAAGACCAAAACTGTTGACCTACACCCATTTTAGTAAATATTCAAGTAAATATGTAGTGGTCTACTAAAATGAAAGTAGCTGCAAGTCTAAAGCATTAGCAATTTCTTTCTTTTAATAAAACCGGTGCAATATTTCTTTCAAAGGACCAATGCTTATTACCTTGGGCCAAAGGTAACTGAAAATTTAAGACAATTTTTTTAATTATTCATTTATTTATCTGTGACAGCCACCCCTTTGAGTTTATGTACTAGTAGAGATGCCTGGGAATGTACCAAATCAGCTGTTATGCAAATTTGCCACACCTTAACATTCTTCACCACAATTTGACTGTGCTGCCACCTACCCTTGCTTTGAAGTTCAAGTCTGCGCCTTTCTGGATGAGGAGGGTGCCTACGTTGGTATTCCCATAGTGAGCAGCGATGTGGAGGGGAGTGAAACCACTCTGGGAAAAGCAAACAAAAATTATTTAAACTGAAAATTAAGGTAATCACTGCTAAAAAGGTTTTGAGTAAATAACATTTCATCAGAAAATCCAAAAGGTACAAAAATTCAATGCAAAACTAAATTATGAAAATGTATTTCAAGCCACTTTAATAAGAAACCTGTAAATCGTTGACTCCGTGAATATACTATTGAAAGAGATAGCAAATATTATTGAGGTAGCAGATGAACCAGCCTGGATAAGAAGCAAATGGGGGAAAAACAATACTGGTGACCTGCAGCATTCTTCATTCCACTAAGATCACTCAGTGAACAAAACAACATGGTTACACGAAATAACAGCTGAGCAATAATGATTCACTGATGAAGACAAACAACGACCATCTAAACTATGATTTCAGTCTGTGTGATAAAAAAGAAAGAAAAACATCCTTTATCACATGCTTATCTTGGTTTAATTATCTTCTGTAGCTGTGTATGATTCATACAATTTATCATACATAATTCAAAATGAAAAAAAAAAAAAAGCCAAATACATAAAATACTGAAACTACAAAGAAAAAGCAAGCAGTGAAGAAATGACAACAACACTTGGTTTCTTAGGAAATGTAAATACAGCTTTTCAGGCAAAGAAAGATGATGGACAGAGGTTCCAAGCTTCACGTTAATTTATTCTGTCATCTCTGCCTGAAGGCTATGACATCATCATGAACTAGGAGAGCCGGAGTCAAGATCAATACAGTGAAGCCTCTATTCTAATTGAGACCATTATAAAATAAAGAAGCCACAGAAGAAAGAAAAAAACATGTACAGCTCTTTGTCAGGATAATATCACATCTCAACGTGACACCAAGACCTTGGATCAAACTGAAGTCAACTTCTAGTTTCTGTGAAGTGACCTTGTTTATTTGGAAGCCAATTGTATTTTTTTTTAATCAATGGGTCTTTGTGTTTGAAAATTGTTTAAAAATTATTTATATACTGTTAATTTTTTCCCCACGCTTTCCTTCCATATAAGACAAGATGAATAAGTTTTCACAGACATTTTCTATAAATCTTATGTATAAAACACTTCACTGTTTGTCAGAAAATTGGTCACATCTTTGATCATGTTATCTATGGAAAAAATTTCCAGGTTAAAAAAAAACCAACTACACTGTTAAAATGAAAATTAACACAGGTTCTTGAAAGATGTGATATTATTCCCATTTCTGCTGAAATAAACACAAACAATCTACCTTTGTGGTATCATTGACTAAGCTCCCGCTCTATCCAAGACAACGCATGATAGAAAGAGAACAGCTGGACATAAGACATGTGCAGGGCATGTCGGGGTGTGTGTGCAGACGACACTTCACAAAGTGCCAAAAAAATGGAAGAAATTGCACACACACACACATACAAAATAGCACCTGCCAATTACTGATGACATGAACATATGGAACTTTCTCCAGAGAGAAGCTTTATGTTTTATTGATAAGAACAACTGACAGTGCCAAACAAAACCCATCCCTGATGGGAATAATGGATGCAGAGTTAAAACTAATTCAATTACATTTTCTTATCAGATCTCCAATTTCTTGTGATCATTCTGTTCAATCGTGTAGCATCTTCAAATATTGAGAAGTTAGTATTTTCTTTTATACAACACATGCAGTCTAAATTCATGTTCATTGTATTAGTTTTTTCTTATTATTCAATCTTTATAAAAAATATTGCATCAAACTGTTTCTAAAAATATAATCACTCTCATGCTCATCCCCCCTCCCCCCTCAAAAAAAAATTACAATAGCAACATAACCCTTAACTCACCTTCGAAACGCCATCTACATTGTGGTCATTTTGTAGCAAAAGAGCTGCCGCTTTTGTGTCATCTTTCTTGGCAGCAATGTGAAGTGCTGGCAGTTTTACCTTGCCCCGTGTGTCATTCTCCAGTAAAACCTCCACGACCTCGCTGTGACCTTGCTGGAGAGCTACGGCAAGAGGAGTGAAACCATCCTGGAATTATACAATACAATACAATACAATACAATACAATACAATACAATACAATACAATACAATACAATACATGAAACCATTAATGCAATGAAATAATGCTTTCCAACTTAAATATCCTGCTGAATTGTAACCATCCTAGAAAACAGTACATAAGTGTAACAACCCTTGCATTTCGAGTATTTTAAAGCATGTCATATACTGTTTTGCTCCAACAATTTTATGTATATGAATACATTTGTCCTCAAGGTCCTCATGGCAAAGATATTCTGACTTGTGGGAAAATAATCTATTTACTTAAAAAACTGCCATATTTCATTGTCTTTAGAAATAGTAGACAGATTCTTAGATTGGTTAATGAAACAATAAAATCACCCAATATGATTATTAATTTCTTTTTTGTGTGAGCAACTGAATATTTGTACAGTGTTTTTGAGAAATTTTCACATCTGAACATGATTTCTCATTGTGCAGCATGGCGCAAGGGAGTATACCTGATGAGCTTCATTTTTGATATACTGGACCCTTTTACTTTCTTTTGTCGAAGTTTTTTTTCCCTCTACCACTTACATGACATTGCTCAGTGATGTAATACAGAAAGAAAAGAAATAACCCATTGATCATCGCAGCAGTGTACGTATGACTCATTATGAAACACTCTGAGATTGTGGTAAGCAGAAGGTTTTGCAACTTCTGCACAACCTGACACCTTCAATAAACAAAGCCTCACATCACGAAGATGATCCAGTTGCATTATGGGACATATAAAGCAGGAGTAAAAAAAATTGATCGTGGTTGCACAGTTTTACCTCAGTGCACCAAAACACCTGGGAAGCACATAAGATAACATATAATTCATCAATATTGGTTAAAATTTCTAAATCTCAGATAATTAGGTACAACAATGACAAGGACCACAATAAAACGCTAACAAAAACATTTGCAGAGGTCAAGAGTTTAGAGCTTTGGAGCACTATGAAGTGGAGGTCAGTAAAACCCTGCTTCCTACTTCCAGGACCAAATGACTACTGTCACAGTTAATTCACATTTTTCATGCTAGCATGGCTGAC